TAAACTTAAACATCAATGGACATGCAAAATTAAACACTTTTTTTACCAGTGAGTAAGTAGGTTATCTTTTTCCGCCAGTTGACTATAGTTGAAATTAATTTTAATGCATACTTGAAAATAATCAAGGGGGAATTATTTTTAAAGTAGATTTAAAAAGCGATTTTATGATTAACAATGTCAACACAGATATAAGGAGGCAGCCCTCTTATCAAGATGGTAATAAATTATCGGCAAAAATACGCTAAAACCCTACATAACAATACAAATGCTGTAACACAAACATGTCCTAAGTACTTCGACTTTACAGACACAACCAGACACACCGGCAAATTAATTATTTTAGAATGATCAACCATTCACAAAGTTCAGCCTCATAATCAAGGTTGATAATCTTTAACTAAGCCCAGAATTAAAATAAATGAGTAAACTCACCAGAGTAGATCCTGGGTAGTTGCATAGTGCATGGTGCATCGCCATCAGCCCCACACAGACACTCACACTTTCACATTTCACAATATACAATTTACGTATTGGCTGGTTGTATTCAGCAACACCAACCAGAGGTTGAACCATAACACATAAGTTATGGAAAGTTACATCACTACAGTGACATAAACAAAAGTCACTGGTACAACTCCAAACAGCTGATCGAGAAGAGGGAGGGGAATGGGGGAGGGGGGGGGGGCTGCAACACAGCCTGTGCGGCGACGGGCGAGGTGGCCCAGGGGGCGACCTGGTGGTGTGGGGACCATTGGCGGCCTCGGGACGCGAGTTACGCGAGTAACAGTAGGGCCTAGCCCAGTCCGTCACGGCGGCAATTTGCCAGGTCATCGGTTGATCAGTCCCACCTAACCTAACTTCGGACAGCCGTTTAGAGAGAGGCGAGTCGCGGTGCACGCCTTGCGGGCTTTGCTTAGGTGCGAGTTATCCATTTTGCTGGCGAGCTGGAGCACAATACTTTTCACTTCAACCGCGAACAACGTGCCCAAGACGGGGCCTACAGAGTTTCGTCGGCAGTTGACGGTCCGGTCCTCACGCTCTGCTCGTGCACTCTCGACTACTCGCGCGCGCGCGCCGGCCGGCACACCTGTTCGAGCGCTGTCCTTCTCGCTCTCAGCGGGTCAGGCTGTGCTGGAGGAGTTGCCTACCTATCAGGCTTACTCGGGTTATCAGTTACAGTCCGCAACAGTGTCGCTGGCACTGTGGAAAATAGTCAGGAGGTGTGTCGTAAAATCTCAATCTGAAATTGTAAATTGACAAGCACTGCCTATCGACTTGGAATTGGTTGAAAAGCAAATTTGGGCTGTCGCAAGTTAACAACATATTTTGTAAATAAAAATTACAACAAATGTCGTAAATTTACGAGGAAAGTTTTTACAGTGGTCGCTCTCACTCGCTGTCGTCGGGACGGTCGTCGCGGTGGTGGTGGTCATCCCTATCCGTCCGCTGTCCGTCGGCAAGCCTGACGCGCGCGAGGAGGCTCCCACCGCACCACCCACCCTGCAGCTAGCCTCCGTGTGCCTCACGCTGCACGGGAGCGCCGGCGGTGGTGGAGGGCCTCCCTGCGTGCAAAGCCTCGACGTATCGTAATTACGGAGGCATTGCTTTGCATATTACGTGCACTCGTTCTCGGGCGGCGTGCGGGTGGTGAGCGCGCGTGGCGTGTGCGGGTGTTGGCAGCTGGTGCCGAGCGCGCGCTCATCGCCTGGCCCGCACACGTCGGGGTGATTTCTCAAAGCTCAACAACAAGAGCTTTCGCGGAAGACGTTGGGAAGGGGGGGGGCACACGGGCTGCTCCTTCTCGCCCATTTAAGGAGAGAGGGGAAGAAGGGGGGGGGGCAACTCGCAAGCAGCGAGCGAGACATGGGATGTGCTCTGGCGTGCGCCAGGCGTGACGAGAGCCTCAACATCAGAATAAAAAAATGCGAAGGGTTGGCCAGTACTGTCCTGTCATCTGCGTTGTTTTTAAATGTGCAGGACTCATTTTGCATTGTATTCGTTTCAATTATTGTGACTGACTGTGCTCGAAAGTCAGGTCTTCAGATGGTTTACCCGAGTGCGAGTGTGATGAGAGGGGAAGGGGAGGGCTGGGGGGCGAACGAGCGCGGTGGCAAGTTGGACTGCAACTCCTTTGGCTCGACAATGCAAGAAGGGCTGCAGGAGGGTGGCCCCGCCCAGTGGTGGTGGTGGCTCCCTAAAGAGTTGCTGCAGGTCTGGATGAGCACAAGACGCAGCAGCACAGGGAGTGGGGGCGCACAGCAGCGGCATTCACTCCTGGCCCCGGTCTCCCAGCACCCCTCCCCGCCCCGCAAACTGAGCCTGCTCCGCCCTAGCAG